CCGTGGTGCACACACATGTCATTTCTGCCGCTGTTGTGGTGTACGAAGGCATCGCGGTGTACAGAGCCTGGTGTAGTGTGCACAAGCACGGTCGGCTGCGACGACGACGACAGCGGCGACGACGACGACGACGACGACGACGACGACGACGACGAAGCCTACCGTGCCGACAGTTGTGCTGGTAATGAGTACCAGGGCCCGTGCGAGGGCCCCGCCGCGCGTTACCGTTACCCCCAATTTGGGGCCGGACCCCCCCCCCGCTAACGGGCGCTACCCCCCCCAATAAAGAAAAAACAAGCTCCAAAAGAGCCCTGGGACGGCCCAAGAGGGCCCCAGGAAGGCCTAAGACTGCCCCAAGACAGCCCCTGCAGGCCTCCAGGGGGGGGAGGCCCCCCGACGTCCCCACCAGGGCGGCCTGGGCTTCTCACGTAGCTCAAGATTCCCCATGAGGCCCCCCCAAGAGAGCCCCAACGGAGCCCCAAGACGCCCCCAAAACGGCCAGAGAGCCCTCCGAAACACCTTCGGGTCGTGTGCCCCAGTGTCCGATCCGATTCGGCCCCACCCGGGTCGAATCCGATATTCAGGCCATCTGATGCGGCCCGATGCTCACAAGGCGTCGTTGTGTATCCCGGCGCGGCCGATCCGATTCGATATCGATTCCGTGCTGGTGCGGGCCGATCCGACATACATTCCGATCCGATCTGATTTGCCGATTCGATGTTGATTGATCTTGCCCTCCACCTCACCTCATCATCGTTTAACCGAGCCCGATCGCCAGCCACAAGCGGTTCCCATGATGCCCGAAGGGGCCCCACCGAGGCCCCAGAGACGCTCCGAGCAGGCCCCAACGAGCTCCCAGGAGCCGCCCCGGAGGCACCCAGCGCCGAAGAGGGCCCCCAGAGGCCTTCAAGAGCCCCCAAAAGGTCCCCAGGAGAGCTCCGAGATACCCCCAAGAGGCGTCCCGAGCAGCTTACGGGGGCATGCGCAAGCCTTGCAACCGCATCGGAGGCGCAAGTGCGAGAACACGAACATTGCACATGTTCCTTAGTTGTTGTAGTGATGTTGGCCTCCCGAGGGCTGTCCAGAGCGCGTGGGGCGATCTTTGGTGCTTGTAAGGGCCTCCAGAGCCAACCTGAAAAAAACAATCTCTCTAATCCTTTCGGTTTCCAACTTACCATTTCCCTCCATGTCCCCAGAGTTCGTTTCCGTTTTTCCAGTTTGTTTTATGTGTATAAATATATGTATATCTATGTATATATATATATGTGTATATTATCTCTTGCTCTTTGTTGTCTTGCGTCTCCCGTTCCACGCTCTTCTTCTTTCTATCCTTGTTCTTTCTCCCCGCTGCGTTTATTTCATTTCTTAGTCCTCCTCGTCCTTCCTTCACGCCTTCCTTGCTTCACCTCCCTCATGCGTTTCCGGTGCCCCCCCCCCTCCCTCATCCTCATCTCTCCGTCAGTATTGTTTCCTTCCGTCTCCTTCACCCAGCATCTTGCTCTAGTGGTGGGAGATTCAGGTTGACAAACAAGAGACGTCCCTCACATCACATCTTTGCTTTTTTATAGACCCGCCCCCAGTCCGTTTCCTCCTGTCCCAGGCTTTGGCGTGCCCCCAAATGTGTTTCCGTGTTCCGCATCCTTTGGTGCCAGTTCTTTTTGATTTCTCTTGATCTCTCTCTCTCTCTCTCTCTTTCTATCGGTCTCTCTCTCTCTCTCTCGTTCTCTCTCTCTCTCTCTCTTTCTCTCGCTCTCTCTTTCTCTCTCCTGCTCTTGGTTCTCCTCCGTCTCCCGTTCCACATCTTCCTCCTTTCTGTCTTCCTTCTTCCTCCTTGCAGCCTCATTTTCTCTCTTCCCTCTTCCTCGTCGCTCATTCACCTATCCCTCTCTCCGCCTCCCGCATGCGTATTTCGTCTCCCCCACTCCTCGCTGTGTTTTTCTCCCTGATCTTTCCCTTGCTCGTGGTCATCCTGCATCTCCCGTTCCACGTCCTTATCTTTCCTCTACCTCTCCCTCCTCCCCGCTGCGTCATGCTCCCTCTTCCTTCCTTCTCGTTTCTCCCGCGCTTGGTCGTTCAATAATTTGGGTCTCCCGAGGGCTTCCCAGGCCCTGGAGCTCTTGGGGGACTCTTTGAGGCCTCTTGGGGCGATCGTTAGTGCTCTTGGGTGCCTCCAGAGCCAACTTGGAAAAACAAGCATCCCTCAAACCCCTTGTGTTCAAGGTCGACCCCCCCCTCCGTTTCCTTGTGTCCCAGGCTTTGGCGTGCCCCAAGTGCGTTTCCATTGTCCCCATCCCTCGCTGTCCGTTCTCCTTGATCTCTCTCTCTATCCCTTTCTCCTGTTCTTAGTGTTCCTCCGCCTTCCGCTGCAGATTGTTCTCCTTCCTCGCCTTTGTTCTCTTTTCCGCTGCGTCATGTTCCTTCGTCCCTACTTTTCTCCTTCACGCATTCCGCTCTCCGCTTCCCACATGCGTTTTCGTTTGCCCCCTCCCTCATCTTGATCTCTCATTCACTCCTGTCTCTCTCCACCGCCCTCACTCAGCATCTTGCCCCACTGAGTGGTAGGAGGCCCATCTTGAAAAGAACGAATCCTCTAAATCAGTGTTTAAAGCTCGCCCCCCCCCGTGTCCTCCTGTCCCAGGCTTTGGCGTGCCCCCGACTTCGTTTCCGCTTTCCTCATCCCTGACGGTCAGCTCTTCCCGGTCTTTCGGATGTTCTTGGTTTTCTTCCGCCTTCCGTTTTACATTAGTATCTTTCTTCTTCTTCCTCTTTGCAACCTCATCTTCTATCTTTCTTCTTCATCGTCTCTCATTCACGCCTTCCTCTCTCCGCCTCCCTCATGCTTCGTCTGCTCTCTACGCTCCAAGACGGCTCAAGAGGTCCCCAAGACAGCACCAAAACAGCCCAAGAGGTCCCCGCGAAGGCCCGAATCCGACGCAAGAGAGCGCCAAGACGGCCCAAGAGGCCGTCAATACGGCCCAAGAGGCCTTCAGTCTGATCCCAAGACAGGGGCAATGGCGGGGATACAGGCGGACATTTCGAGCCCAGATGCCAAGATTCCCGGGGAGGCCCCCGAAGCGCCCCAAAAAAGTCACAGGAGGCCACCAGGAGACCCCCAACAACTATTGGAGAGGCCTCACCCCCTCTCAGACCGTCCCCCAAAGGTAATCAAAGCGACTCCCAGCATGGTGTTGCCAGGCTCTCAGGGGCTCTCGGGCAAATTTCCTTGGGCTGCCCTGGCTTCTCCTCGTGGCTGTCTTGCGCGACTTCTGGAGCCTTATTCAGCGACTCCTGAAGCATCCATCAGAAAATACGCTTACATCTGGTGGTCCTTGTGGGATGATGTCCATCCTCATCCGATCCTGTGAGGTTGGCTTGGCCTGCGCTAGAACCTAAACGCGCGCGCGAAGCGCGCGTGGTTCTATTATATACCCACCATCTCTCCTCCACCCCTCCTCTCCCTCCTGCTCCCGGACCTGCTTCTCCCCATACCCACCTTCCATCTCACAAACGGCAGGCTAGGCTCTGAGCCTGCTGGCTGTGCGCCCTTCATCCTCCTGGAAGGGCAGGAGGAGGGAGGAGGAGGGGGAGAGGGAGCGGCATGGGGAATGTGAGGACGAGGAGGAGGAGGAGGAGGAGGGGGAGGAGGAGGGTGAGGAGAGGGTGGAGGCGAGAGAGGAGGAGGAGGAGGAGGAAGAGGAGGAGGAGAAGAAGAAGAAGAGGATGAAAAGGGGAGGTGAACGAAGGGGAGGAGATGGGTCGGGAGTATGGAAGGAGGAGATGCAGGATGAGACGGGCTAGAAGGAATTGGATGAAGCGGTTGAGGAGGAGGAGGAGAAGGAGGAGCAGGAGGAGATGGAAGAGGAGAAGGAGGATGTAGAAACAGAAGTGGAGGGAGATGGGGGAGTGGAGGAAGGATGTGGAGGGGTTTGGGAGGGCGCCTGATTCTCTCTTTGGTTCTGACGTCTAGGGTGTTCCTCTGAACACCGCCGACGTCATGCTGCAACTACAAACCAGCAGCATCGCGCATATAGCACACGCACAACGCATACGATGTCTCTCACATCTGCGTCCACAGCAGCTTTATGGCGCAGCGCGCTGTTGTCTCTCAAGTGCCATTGAGTGGGGATTACCCAGTGCGCGAGGAATGATGTCGCCTTCATCAGTACCTACATCACATTCGCACTATCAGTGCGCTGTTCAGGGTGACAAACAACTCGAGTTTACCAACACCGTCCTAGCCACGGCCACGCAATGCCCGACGCGTCTGTCGGTTTTCGCTGGCCTGTGTCTGGGCGACATCGGCTTCCTGGCCGTGTCTCGGCTGGCAAGCTATGCATCATTGCGACACGTCCGTCGCCATTGTTGAAGCTCTTGCCGTGCTTTTCGGGGAACAAAGCATGACATAAACAGAAGTTTTCAGAGGTCCGCGCGGCTTTCTCGGATCTGTGCTGGAGCCCCGTGGCGGCACCTCGGGCGCCGGCCCTGGCGCGGGGAGCGCGCCAGGGAGGGGGGTCCAGCGCCGATCCGAGAAGTCCGCGCGGACCTCCGAACGTGTATAGTCTGCTATCTGATTCTCCAGCTGCGGCCGCGCCGCCAGCCAGGAGTGGAGCCAGTACCAATTTGTCAACTCCCTGGTCTTCGAGAGTCGGCTAGCCCAGAGCGCTCCAGCCTTGAGCTAGCGTGCCAGCGTGGCCGTGGCCCCTCGCCAGGCGCGGGCGGCGATGATGCCGACGACGACGACGAAAACGACGAAGACGACGACGACAGCGACACGGCGACGTCGACGGACCAGACGACGGGCGACGGGCGGCGGCGACGGGCGCCGGGCGACGCGTTGACCGGCCCTCGGCGCAAATCGAATTATTATTCCATCTTTTGTTCCTCTAGCTCTGGCAGCTGGCGAGCCGGCACCTGCCCCGCGAGCTGAGGGCCTCCCGCCGCGGGCACATCTGCCCGCGGAGGCTCCCCCCCCGCACGGCGCCGCGGCCCGCGGGCGCGAGGTGGAAGGCCGGCTGGAAGCGCAGAGGCAGTACCTCGAGCAGGTCCAGAGCACGCTGGGCCAGGACAGCGCCGCCGCCGCCATCGCCTTCGTCGCCATCGTCGCCGTCTTTGTCGCCGTCAACGTCGTCGAAGGCGGCGCGGGCCGTGGCGCCGCCGCCCCCCCCCCTCCCCCGGCCAGGCCCCCGCCCACCACCTGATGGCGGCGCGCCCAGGGGTGTTGGCGCAAGGGATCTTGGTTATTTAAGATGGCAGGGTGGCTTCTTACAGTCAGGACGCTGGAATAAGGACCGCTTTGGGTTCGGAAGGGTAGATGAGGGTAGATCAGAGAATGGTTCTGGCGAACGGTGTCGCGCACTGGCGGGACCGTCAGCGGATGACCGAGCCACGACCCGCATGGGGCACTCCACTGTGGCAGCGTTCCGCAGCGGTCGCTGTTCCTTCGGGCATTCCGTGGTTGTTCCCCTGGCCCTCCTCGTGCGCCCAGGCTCTTCTGGTGCCAAGAACGGGCGTCGTTCCTTATTTAGCATTCCGTGTTTCCCCTCCTCGTGCGCCCAGGCTCTTCTGGTGCCAAGAACGGGCGTCGTTCCTGATTTAGCATTCCGTGTTTCAGCGGCCTGATTGTAGAAGGCAGGAGTTTCCTAGAAGCCTCCAGGCTGCCTTCCTGGAAGCCCTCCTCCCACCCCTCGCGCCAGCCCCTCGTGCGCGCCGCCAACATACGACAGGGCACCCCCACTCCCAGTCCCACTAGATCCTTCTCCTCCCCCTTCTCCTCCACCTCCTCCTCCTCCTAATCCTCCTCCTCCTCCTCCTTGTCCTCCTCCTCCTTGTCCTCCTTCTCCTCCTCCAGGAGGGTCTGAAGGTGGTGGCACTGGGGTCGGAGGTGAGGCGTGGGTACGTATACCTTTCTTGGCTGCCAACCTGGCCGGCACCCTGGTGGCATGCCAGGTGGCCTGCGGCACAGGTACGAGGTTTACAGTTCGACCAACTGCAGCAGTCGACTATGTTGGTTGTTCGAAACCGATGTGAGGCATGTTTGGGATCTGGAAAGTTTTCAGATTCGCAAGTGTCATGTCTCTTGAACGGAGGGGTCCCAGGGCCAGGGGCGACGGAGGGGTTAGGGCAGTAAGGGCCACATGTTCTCGTGCGCTCGCCATCAGGGGAATTTCACTTTCGTCAAGCAGTGGCGAAGCGTCCTGGCTCGCCTATCGTGGTTTGCAAGAAAGTTCTTAGAACATTTCTGGCTGAGTCTGAACATTGCTTGTGTTATTAGAACGTTTTTGGGTTTTAAGAAAATGTCGTAGTAGGCCTATAGGAATGCCGGGACGGTCGGTCCCTGCTCAGGGTCGAAGAGCTTGCTACTGACCGTGGGGGTTGGCTCGGGCAAGTCGCAACAGGTCGAGAGCCAGAGGACGCGACATCGAAGTCGGCGCTTGGGCGGCAGGCCGACAACGAGCAGAATGCCCAGGAAATTGTGCGAGGATGAATCCGAGCCAGGGACGGGCTTTACGAACGAAGGCGAGAGTGGGTCTGTGCATTAGGGTCTCCTCTCTTTGGAATCAACGCCTAGCTCTGGACGCCTCTCATAACGACTGCCGGATTTCAAGCCAGCGATGCTTCTGCAGAAGGCCTGGGAGGTCGGTTGCTCAAAGCTGGCTCTCGCCTAGAGTGGTTTATTCCTCATGCCCTCTCGTTCGGCCGATCAAACTCAGCCACGCGAAGAGGGAGGTATGGTGAGGGGGAAGGCTTCTTGTGCGCGCCGCCAACGACACCCCATGGTTGTCCGAGGAGGCCAGCGACACCTCGGGGCGAGGAGGGCCGGGTCGGACGACGGCAGGGAGGGACAGGAGACAGGGGGGCTATGAAGTCTTCCGTCCTCCTTCCTTCTACTCCGCCTCCTCCTCCCTCCTTCCTCCTCCTCTTCTTCTGCCGTCTCCTCCTTCCTCCTCCTCCCTCCTCTTTGAGCTGTGTGCAGGTGGTTCTCGGACTCCGCCGCTGGGCGCCCTCCTCGACGCACTGGCTCGGGGAGGCGCCCGTGAATTCAGCGATTGGTGCTGCTAGGATCAACCTTGGCATTGCACCCGAAATGTTAGATACGATTCCCAACAAGCCCCGAGGGGTTGGCGAGGGTCCTGGTCGTAGGTTTGGCATGCGCAGTTCCCTCCCAGGGGCGGGGTGTGTACATACTGAATGTGGCCCCAAACCGTGGAGTTGAATTGGGGCGGGGAGGGTGTAGTATAGAACAGGAAGCAAAAGTGGAGATGTGTGAACCGCCCTCTCCGCCCGACCAGAGAGGGGGCAGTTGATGTACGAGGGGCCGGGGCTGGATAAGTCTTAGGATTTCGGGCAAGAGTGAGGCCAGAGCACGGGCGAGGGCACTCAGGGGGAGGGGCATGGCAGTGCAGGAGGGTCTGGGGCAGGGTCAGGGGAGGGCGTGGGGAGGGGCAGGGCAGGATGGGTCAGAGTGGAGGCTTGCACAAGATAGGGGGTGGGGGAGCCCGGGGGGGGGGGACGAAGTTTAGCGTAATCCTGCGGCTACCTCGTGAGATCCCTTCTGGCCAGCGTTCATCATTGGTTTCCTCAGTCAGCCCGGCCTCGCCTTGCGGAAGCGGCACCCACAGATGTCGAGTTTCACCGATGAAGTAAATGGTGGGTTCGCGGAGCCTTTGCTCTAGCCGTTTGACAGACTACACCTCACTTGTGTGTCATCCTCCTTCTTGCCCCTCCCCTAGTCTCTCTTCCCTGCCCCCCCCTCTCTCCCCCGCCTTGCCTCTCACTCCTCCCTCCTTCCCTCGCCCCTGCCCTCTCCCCCTTCTCAATCCTTCCCCCCGCTGCCGTCTAGCCCCCCCCTCCTTCCGCGGGGCGGAGGGGCAAAGGGCAAGGCAGGCCAGATCCAAGGGCCGCCACGAGGGCGCGAAGTCAGTCGCGGTTCGCGCTTCGCGAGTCCTCCTTCTTATCCTCCTAGTCTTCCTCTTTTCGCCCGCGGGGGGCGGCGCGAGAGCGCGAAGCCATTCGCCCTTCTCGCTTCGCGAGAGCGCGTACATAGCTGCTCTTGCAGCTCCACACCCTCCCGAGCTGCCCGCCCGTCTGCTGTCTTGCCCCCCTGGCAGGTCTCATTTCGATTCATCCGGCTCGGTTCGGATTTGATCTCGATGGGTTCCGAGTCCGATTCGATTTGATTTCGAATTCCGACCTGGGTTCCGATTCCTCTACGGAGGCCCCACTTGCCTGCCGATTTCCGCCGATCCGATTTTTCTCAATTCGGCTGCCGATTTCCGCCTGTCCGATCCGTTTCGATCGCCGACCCGACTCAGCGGCACGATTCTGGGCTCTCCAGCCCTGGGGCCGAGGAGCGGGAGGACAAGGGGAAGATCCTGGAGCTGAAGGGGTCACTGGAGGCCTGCCACCCCCCTCCGACGGAGGGCAGGGTCGGAGCCGCGAGAAGCAGGAAGCCATGTGTGGCTTCGGGCGATCCCAGCCGAAACCTTCGGCGGTTGTTCCAGGGTCTGGCACTGTTGGTTAGTGTGTCCAGCCGGAGCCCGGCGCGCATGTCGCGCTTGATGGGACGCCATTGTGTTCGGTCGTTGTTGCATCACATTATGTCGCGTTCTGTCTGGTCATGTGTTATTGTATGCGCATCTTGTTCGTTTTGTTCTGCTCTCGGCTGGGCGGAGTGACGTCTAGTCGGTCGTTGTTGCGCCTGTCTGTGTCATGTGGCCAGCCTTACGTCGGCGTGGATGCTGCGTTTAACGGGGTGTCACTAGTCTGTCGCTGCGGCGTTTAACCGTACTTAGTTGTGTCAGTTTCCATCATGCTCTCATGTGTTATGATGTAGTATGTTATGTTGTGCTCTCGACGGGCCGGCGGGACATTCTGGCGCTGGTCACGTTAGATTCGTCGTCCAATCGGTCGTTGTTGGGCCTTGTTGTTCCTGTGGCCAGTCTGACCTCGGCGCGCACGTCGCGTTTGATTGTATAATGGTAGACATGGTCGATTATGCTCGTTGTATGAGACGTCGTGGACTGGTGGCTGCCTTTCAAGATTGTGCTGTATTTTGTTAGTTTGGATCTTGCCCCAGCGTAGTGAAAAACAGTCTGTCTTGTTATGCCATGTTTTGGACTGGGCAGCGTGGCGCCGTCAGGCCTGTCACGTTTGATTGTAATGGCCTCCGGCCGGTGCCGCCGATCTGGGGGGCTCCGGATTCGGTGATCGTCGCGGCTCTGTGGCCTCCTCACTCCTCGATTCTTCCGGTCCTCTGTCTTCTCCTCTGGGTGGTGCCTGGAGCGGTCGGTCCAGGGGAGGGTCCCTGGGGGGGGTCCGAGGGGAGGGTCCTTGGGGCGGTAGCGGCTAGATCTGAGGGGGTTCCTTGGGGATGCGCAAATCATTAAGAAAACGCCAGATGGGTGACCGCCCCCCCCCTCCCCCCATTCCCCAGGGGTCCGGATGCGCAAATCATGAAGAAAACGCCAGATGGGGGACCGCCCCCCCGCCCCCCCCCTCCCCGGGCCCCCTTCCCCGGCAGAGCCACCCCAGCGACCCCCCCAAGCAGAGAGGCCTTTTGTAGTTCACACGCCGGATCGGCGGATTTGTCTCACCGGTCGTTGTTGCTACTGTTTGTTTCTGTGGCCAGCTTGGGCTCGGCGCGAATGTCGCGTATGATATAATGGCATTGCTCGTCTCTATAGTGTTATACTATGTGATGTTATGTTCGTTATGTAGTGTTCTATGCACTTCTAGTTTGTTCTATTATGCTCTTGGTGGGGCGGCGTGACGCCATGGCGCCTGTAGCGTATGATTTGGGTTCTTGTCTGCCGTTGCTGCGCGCGTTTTTCCCAACCATCCTGTGGTGTTGGGTCCCCGTTTTGAGGAGACATCGCCCCGCGTCTCCTTCCTCTCCTCTCCTCTCCTCTCCTCTCCTCTCCTCTCCTCTCCTCCCCGTTCTCCCGCTCCTCTCTCCTCCCCCTCCTCCCACCATCAGCATCATCATAAGCATCATCATCATCATCATCATCATCATCATCATCATCATCATCATCATCATCATCATCATCGTCATCATCTCCAAAACCATCACCGCTATCGTAATCACCATCGTCATCAGCAGCATCAGCAGCAGCATCATCATCGTCTCCAAAACCACCACCGTCATCGTAATCATCATCACCATCATCGTCATCGTTCCCCGTCCATTCTTGCACGCCCTCACACAGTTTGTGGCCCCACAGGGAGCTCCACCGAAGGCCCCAGTGGCAGGGTTCACATGCAGTTCCACCCTCATTTTGGCGCACCCCTCACGCGGTTCGTGGCCCCATAGGGAGCTCCACCGAAGGCCCCAGCGGCAGGGTTCGCATGCAGTTCCGCCCTCATTTCGGCGCAACCCTCACACGGTTCGTGGTCCCATAGGGAGCTCCACCGAAGGCCACATCGGCAGGGTTCGCATGCAGTTCCACCCTCATCTCGGCGTACCCCTCTTGCGGCTCGTGGCCCCATAGGGAGCTCCACCGAATGCCTCAGTGGCAGGGTTCGCATGCAGTTCCACCCTCATTTTGGCGCACGGGCAGGGTTCGCATGCAGTTCCCCTTTCGCTTCGGCACACCCTTCACACGGTTCGTGGCCCCATGGGAGTTCCACCCGAAGGCCCCAGCGGCAGGGATCGCATGCCGTTCCGCTCCTATTTCGGTGTTTTTCTCACGCGATTCGTGGCCCCATAGGGAGTTCCACCCGAGGCCACACTGGCCGGGTTCGAACCTTTCACGCGGTTCGTGGTCCCATAGGGAGCTCCACCGAAGGCCCCATTGGCAGGGGTCGCATGCAGTTCCACCTTCATCTCGGCGCATCCCTCACACGGTTCGTGGTCCCATAGGGAGCTCCACCGAATATTTCAGTGGCAGGGTTCACATGTAGTTCCACCCTCATTTCGGCGCACCCCTCACACGGTTCGTGGCCCCATAGGAAGCTCCACCCGAAGGCCCCAGCGGCAGGGATCGCATGTAGTTCGTCCCCAATTTTGGAACCCTGCTCACGCGGTTCGTGGCCCCATAGGGAGGGCCACCGAAGGCCCCGTTGGCAGGGTTCGCATGCATTTCCACCTTCATCTCGGCGCATCCCTCACACGGTTCGTGGCCCCATAGGGAGCTCCACCGAATATTTCAGTGGCAGGCTTCGCATGCAGTTCCACGCCCATTCCGGCGCACCCATCACACGGTTCGTGGCCCCATAGGAAGCTTTACCAAAGGCGATATTCACAATTGCGGCACCCACAATTCCATATGGTTGGGTCCTTCGCCAGGCTAATTGTCATGTGGCCCGCATTACGTCGGCGCAGGCGTCGGCGTGCATTACAGGGCGTAATGAATGGGTCGTTGACGTATCAAACTGTATCGAATGGTTTTCGGCACATACCGCCACCGTGGGTAGAAAGCCTAGTGGACAGTCGTTCGGATCTCGTGGAGGGCCTCTCGGGGGCCGCTTGGAACAGTTTGAAGCCTCTTTTGGGGCATCCTGAGGCCTCTCTTTGGGCCTCTTTGGGGCCTCTCGGGGCCTCTCTGGGGCCTCTTGGGGGCCTCTTGGGGCCTCTTGGGGCCTCTTGGGCGCCTCTTGAGGCCTCTTAGGCTCGGATGTTCAGTTCGTGTTCCCTCTCTCGGGCCACTTCTAGGGCCGTCTTGGAGCCCTCTTGGGCCGTCTTGGGCGCCTCTTGGGCTGTCTTGGAGCGCTCTTAGGCCGTCTTGGGGCCCTAATGGAAACCTCTTGAGCCGTCTTGGGATGGTCTTGGGGGCCTCTTGGGCCGTCTCAGAACGTCGGAAAGCCGAACAGGCGAGAACGCTCAAATTCTGCAAACATCCAGAGAAAATCAATGATTGTTGCCTTTTGTGGCCCTTTCGGGAGGCCTCTTGGGGACCTCTTGTGGCGTCTTGGAGGCATCTTGGGCCATCTTGAGGCCATCTTGGGCGTCTTGGAGCGATCTTGGGGCGACTCGGGGCCCTCTTGGGCCCCTATTGGGCCTCCCTTGGAGCCATCTGAGCTTGTTTTGGGCAGACCCCAGGCGGGCCCGGGCCGGCACGGGAAACGATCGGTCGGGGCCCTTCAATATTTACAAGTCTGATGGTAGCAGCAGCAGCAGAACCCCATCAGTGCTGCACGAGCCTCGGGGCACTCCACTTCGTGCCAGAGGCACGGTGGCGGACTCGACTATGGTGATATCATCGTGCCCTCGTCTGTTATATTGTATTGTGCTCTGCTGTGTTCTCAACTGGCCAGAGAGACGTCGTTACGCTTGTCACGTTAGATATGTTGTCTAATCGAGCGTTGTTACGCCTGCTTGTTCTGGTGGCCATCCTGATCGCGGCGCGCACGTCTCGTTATACTCAATTAAGGTGTTGCCGGTTATGTTATGAGGTTCATATCCAGCTATGGGTAACCGAATGTTTAAAGTATGGTACGTTCAGCTCTGTCACTATGTGTTGTGTTATGCGTTGTTGTGGTAGAACGACAGGATGTCCACGCTACAATATGTCCATGGTCAATTACGCTATGTGATAGCATGATCAGGTTATGGCATACTGCATCAATTGTGCTATAGTTCATGCTGGTATATCAGTTTCTTTGTCGTAGTGTTACCAGTAGTAAAAACACATGCATGTTCTCTTATGTGGGCTCCGTTGGATCCTGCTCGTTCTAGTCTGATTATTTTGTGTAAGTATGTCCCGCTTGAATGCCCAGCAGTCTTTGATGTTCGATTGCATCCGTTGCCACCGTGGTAGCTTCACTACAACGATGATGGGACGTCCTGGTAGGAGCTGGTATGTTATGCTCGTGTATTTTTGTTGTGTCGTGCATCGTGTTGCTACGCTATGGTATGATCGATGATGAGTCTTGATGTGCTATGGTATGACCTGGCGTGCCATGCTGGGTTATGGTATGATGTGTGCTGGTATGGTACATCTTGTGAACGTAGTATGTGTTACGCCGAGCTCTGCCATTGTATGATTTGCCATGCGACGGTGTGCTCTGGTGTATGGCAGTGTGTTCGATTATGGTGTGTGTCGTCATGCTATGACATGTTATGTTCTGGTATGCCATGCTATAGTATGCTACGCGGTGTACTGGTACGTTGTGTGGTGGTATGCTATGATATGTGTCCGTTCTGCCATAGTATGCGTTGTTATAATATAGTATGCCCTGTTCTGTGAGTTTGTGTTCGGTCATGCTCTGTCTGTCATAGCATGTTCACTTTTTATGCTCTGTTCCGTCATGTTTTTTTGTTGCATGTCCTGTATTGCTAATTCTATGTTGTCATGCTCGCAGGGGCGGGAGGCTCGGGGATTCCCAGTGGACCTGAAGATCTGATGGCCGTGCATGCAGAGTGGGCGAGTCAGGTCTGGAGGGGCGGGAGTCTTGGGGGCTCTTGGTAGACCTGGAGATCAGGCGGCCGCGGTATGCAGATTTGCGGTTCGTGTTTGGAGGGGCGGGTGTCTCGGGAACCCGGGGATTTGGAGCTTTGGCGGCCGTGGTATGCAGAGTGGGCGGGTAGGGAGGTGTGTCTATACCACTAACGACCTCTACCTGTCGGGGGGGGGGAAGCCCAACTTCCCAAGTTGGCGAATCATTATGCTCTGTCCAGTGATGCTGGTTACGTGTTGGTCAGCTCACTATAGTGCATTATGGTCTGGCCTGGTTTGACATACCCCTTCGATGATGTTATAGTCGATGATGGTGTATCAAGCCAACCGTCGCAGTGTCAGCAATCGTATGACAAGTATGTGATCTTATAATGGTTACAGTGTGCTATGTTATGGTGTGTCAGTTTGTACTCTGCATATGCCAAGTTTCTGATGACATAGCACAGTCATGGTCGCTGTGTTAACAATAGTAGAACACGTATGGCGTGTTATGGTATGATATGTTATGATGTGATCTAGTAGTTATGTTGTGTCATGGCATGCGTTGTTGTGTTACGTTATGCGCGATGCTCCATTATGGTATGTCCTGTTCCGTCATGACATCTCAGTTTGTGAACGATGTTGTCATTATATGTGTTGCAATCGTATGATCCATTATACCGCGCTCTGCCGTGGCATGGTGTATCATGATATGTAATGGTGAGCGCCTTGGTGATGTGTACATGGCATGCTATATAATATCATGTTGTGTATACGCGGTCATGGTATGGTATGCTAGGTCGTGTTTGCGATATGTTGTGGTTTGCGTGGTGTGTGGTATGAAGGACTGCGCTGTGTGCTCCATCATGTGATTGCATGCGTTAGTATACGGTGCTATAACAATCGATGCCAACCAATGTTAGGTTCAGTTATGGTGTGGCACTGTATTATGTCACAGTGTTATCTATTATGTCACACAATGGTATGTCGTTGACATGTTTTGATGTCACATGTAATGGTCATATATATATATATGATGTTGTGCGGTGATGTGGTATAGTATGTTATGCTGTGTTGCATGAAGCCATGTTATGGTATGGCATGTTGTGGTCTGGTTTGTTGTGGTGTGATGATTTAGGATGTTCTGTGTCAATAGCAGTTCTGTCGGGTCCTGTCGTGGTTGGCGAAGTAGCGGGGCGGGATGTTCGGGAGACTCTCGGTGGATTTGGGGATCTTGCGGCCGCGGTATGCAACATAGACGGGTCGAGAGGCGTGTTTCTAACATCTAGCGGCCCTGTCAGGCGGGGAACAACAATGCAATACAGATTAGCCTGGCGGAGCTTCCGATGGAGCCACGAACCGTATGCGTGGCGCGCCGAAAGGAGGGTGGAACTGCATGCGAACCCTGCCACTGGGGCCTTCGGTGGAGCTCCCTATGGGGCCACGAACCGTGCGAGGGGTGCGCCGAATGGATGGTGGAATTGAATGCGAACCTTGCCAGTGAAGCCTTCGGTGGAGCTCCATGTGGGCCCACGAACCCTGTGAGGAGTGCGCCGAAATAGGGGTGGAGCTGCATGCGAACCCTGCCACTGGGGCCTTCGGTGGAGCGAACCGGGGCGATTCTTGCCGTTGTGGCCTTCGGTGGAGCTTCCTATGGGGCCACGAACCGTGCGAGGGGTGCGCCGAAAGGATGGCGGAACTGCATGTGAACCTTGCCAGTGGGGCCTTCGATGGAGCTCCCTATGGGGCCACGAACCGTGCGAGGGGTGCGCCGAGATGAGCGTGGAACTGCATGCGAACCCTGCCACTGGGGCCTTCGGTGGAGCTCCCTATGGGGCCACGAACCGTGCGAGGGGTGCGCCGAATGGATGGTGGAATTGCATGCGAACCTTGCCAGTGAAGCCTTCGGTGGAGCTCCATGTGGGCCCACGAACCCTGTGAGGAGTGCGCCGAAATAGGGGTGGAGCTGCATGCGAACCCTGCCACTGGGGCCTTCGGTGGAGCGAACCGTGTGATGGGTGCGCCGAAAGGATGGCGGAACTGCATGTGAACCTTGCCAGTGGGGCCTTCGATCGAGCTCCCTATGGGGCCACGAACCGTGCGAGGGGTGCGCCGAGATGAGCGTGGAACTGCATGCGAACCCTGCCGCTGGGGCCTTCGGTGGAGCTCCCTATGGGGCCACGAACCGTGCGAGGGGTGCGCCGAATGGATGGTGGAATTGCATGCGAACCTTGCCAGTGAAGCCTTCGGTGGAGCTCCATGTGGGCCCACGAACCCTGTGAGGAGTGCGCCGAAATAGGGGTGGAGCTGCATGCGAACCCTGCCACTGAGGCCTTCGGTGGAGCGAACCGTGTGAGGGGTGCGCCGAAATGAAGGTGGAATGGCATGCGAACCGTGCCACTGGGGCCTTCGGAGGAGCTCACTATGGAGCCACGAGCCGTGTGAGGGGTGCGCCGAAATGAGGGTGGCATTGCATGCGAACCTTGTCACTGGGGCCTTCGGTGGAGCTCCCTATGGGGCCACGAACGGTGCGAGGGGCTCGCCGAGATGAGGGTGGAACTGCATGCGAACCCTGCCGCTGGGGCCTTCGGTGGAGCTCCCTTTGGGGCCACGAACCGTGTGAGGGGTGCGCCAAAAAGCGGATGGAACTGCATGTGAACCGTGCCGTTGGGGCCTTTGGTGGAGCCCCCTTTGGGGCCGCGAACCGTGTGAGGGCGTGCAGGAATGGGCGGGGAACGGTGACGATGATAGTGATGTTGACGGCCGTAATGGTGATGACAATGGTGATTACAATGACGGTGACGAGTTTGATGATGATGTTGATGATGCTGATGATGCTGATGATGCTGATGCTGATAATGATAATGTTGACGTTAAATGTTGATGTTGATGATGATGATGCTGATGATGATGATGATGATGATGACGATGCTGTTGATGATGCTGATGCTGATGTTGATGCTGATGTTGATGCTGATGCACATGCTGGTGGGAGGAGGGGCAGGAGGGAGGAGCGAGAGGAGGGGAAGGAGGAGAGGAGAGGAGAGCAGAGGAAGGAGACGCGGGGCGCTGTCTCTTAAAACGAGGACCCAACACCACAGGATGGCTGGGAACAAACCACTACAACGAACACACCGGTCATCAGGTGCGCCTGGAGGTCGTTGCCCGCGACTTTCTCTCCCCCCATCGCGCCTCTCCCGCTATTCTTGTGCCTGATCTGGCCCCGTAGCGTCCTTCGGCTGCCCCGACCGCGTCCTGGTTCCAAGTCGCCGCGACTAACAACAGTGTCTGGAGGTACCCGCCAGCTGGCAGCTTCTGGCCAGAGCCCAACACTTCCAAAGGAGCAAACGGTATGGACATGATTTCTCTGAGCTCCGCGCAGATTCTTCGCATCGGCGCATCCCCCCCCTTGGCGACGCCCTTGGCGCCAGTACTGATGCAAGAATTCCGCGCCGAGCTCAGATGTTTGTTTGCTTTGTTTGTGGCGGTTTCCTTCCTCTAACGGGGACACAACGAGAACAGCGACCATCAGGTGCGTCTGGAAGTAAACCGCCAGCTGTCAGTTTCTAGCCAGGGCCCAGTACTGAAGTGATTCCAGTCCTGTTTGGCGATATTATTCTTCAGCCCACATACGCATACTTTCTCTGCTTCGCGGGGGGTTCTCGGATCGGCGCTGGAGCCACTTGGCGGCACCTCCAGATACGCGCTGAGCTCGGACAGTTCATGGTTATGGCATTTTCTTATTGTGCGGATACGCAACGTGAAACTTGGTCATACGATTTGTCTGAAGGCCAACCGCCTCCTGTCAGCTTCTGGCAAGAACCCAATATCTGTTTGATCACAGTCCCGTCGGGCAGCATGCTCCCCACGCCCATCATGCGTGCTACTTAACCATGCGTTCTGCATCGCTTGGCGCTCGCCATCGGCCTATGGCATCGCCACCACCAAGCGCTTACCAATGCCACCCTGAGTGGTCGTGTGCCGCGAGATCAGGGAGTTTGTCTTCCACTTCGCCGATGCACAGCGGGTCGTGCCATAACGCAGCCAGGGCCTCAAATGCAAACTAGTTTTCCGAGCGGCATTCTGATGACATAGCCGACACGGCTGAACGTCCTGCCGCTAAGTCGTAGTTATTGTCAGGGTGGAACGCACGTAGTGTGCTCTTGGTAAGTCGGATGGGTCTGCGAGAGGCAGGTTACTTGCAAGGTCGGCCGCTCCAAGTGGAGTGCGTTCGGGCCCTTGCCCAAGTTCGCTTGAACCCGCACTGACTCAATCACGAGAGTGCGATTTTCAGGCGGAGTTGCGGCGGCGGTCGGGGGCGATGGCCATGAGGCGATCAGGGGCTTGCCAAAAGGAGGGGGGCATCCCGTGAAGTGCCTTTGCTGATGAGGCTCTCGTGGCCTTTTTATCCCCGTAGTGCATGAAGGGCTTCTCCGACACAGGCTCCTTATCCTTTCATTCAAATGTAGTCCGTGTACAGTCATCAGTGGTTTCTCTTTTTGACCGCTGGCTGTTGATCTAAGATGTCAGTCCTTGACTGATGCTGAACGCAATCATCTCGGCTGGCTTGCGTCTGGAAGGCATCTGTCCCGACCCACCATGAAAAAGAAGCGTCTCGCCCAGGAGAGTACTCGGGACCCGAGGGCCTTTTCTAAGCAAATGGCGTACTCTAAGGACAGGTAACACGTGGAGTGAATACTCCGTGTCAACGCCCCGTACACGCAGGCCCCGGGTTGTTTACCAACATCTTGGATTGGGCGTTGCGCAATGGGGGGCGAAAAGTGTGGGGGCGAAGAAAGGTACACCTGTTGTGCCCTAATGGGCCCCCTTCAAGGGGACGAAAGGTGCACGTTTCCACCCTCTCTCCCCACTTATCGCCCCCGAGCAACGCCCGATTGGGTTGGAGGGTGTGGCGCAGGATCACTTCGTTACATTGCCTTTGCGAGCATGCCTCTGCCGTTGAGCAAGGGCGGCCCCTCTCGCAGCGTCCCCGAGGCGCAGCTGCAGCTGGAGAGCACCCACAAGCAGGCGGTCAGCGAGTCTCTCCACAGAGCGCAGGAGGACTCCGAGCGGCGCATCAAGGATCCGCGCAGCCCAGCGCGGAGCTCAGAGGAGGACAAGGTACCAGCACTGATGTTTGCGGTCTTCAACTTTCTCGGCCTCCTGGGAGACCCTCGTCGCCACCGCTGGATTCTTCTCGGAGTAGCGGTGTCGGTACCATTTGGGTTCCCCGGGAGTTCCCCCGTTGTCGTACGGTAGGTTCGCGTCGTTTCGACGGGCCGCGACCCCGCCGCTTGCGTTCAACGTGGAGCCCCGCCGGCGACCCAGATTCGGTCGATGATGAATGAGCTGACGTTTCGGAAACGGCCGATCGTTCAAGATTGAACGATCCCCGCGGTGTCAGAAAGCAGCGCCGAAGTCGGCACGACACGAACCTGCCGCATTCGGGGGCCCCCAAACGGTGTGGTGACCACCGTGTGGTGAGTCAGTGGGTATTCGGGGTCACCGCACGGTTTTGGGACTCGGACAACGGGGCCCTCCACGGTCCCCCAGCCTTGTGGTGGCGGACCGCTCGGTGAGGCCTCTTGGGATTTCGAGGTCTCCGCGCTGGCTGTCACCACAGGGTTTGGGCACCTCCATGTTACGTGTTTTTCTCGGTTGCTCGCAGGTTTCTGCATTGGAAGCAGAAAGGTTGGAGCTTGATATGTCAGAGGTTGGGAACAGTTACAAGCAGAGGGTGCATGACTTTCACGGACAGGGTAGCGAGTGGCTTGTAGAGATCAGGGTGGCGGTCCGCGTAGAGGCTGAATGGGGGGTGGGTGGTTCGGTGGGAACCGTCAGCGTAGCGCAGAGGGTAGGGGCAGGGAGCAAAGAGTCGGAGGTAGGACTATGGAGGTAGAGGTTGAAGAGCAGACAGCAGGGGCCAGACGAGCGGAAAGAAAAAAATGGGTACGGCACGGGTGGGTAGTAGCTGACTGTTTTCCTCCCCTATCTATCTTGTCTTCCCTTCCTTCCCTGCTTCATTGCCGAACCATTGCCATTGCATTGTTGCAGACCACATGAACTAGCCAGGCACCGCAAAACATTGGTTCAGTATGTCCTTCCTCTCATGCGTATCATAAACGGGTCCTCGCAGGTACATTCAACATCAAATTGCTGAATGCTTCCGGATAGGCCAGGGTGTGATCGAGGCTGGCAGAAAGGATGTATGTGGACTCCAGGTTTATTTTTCTTTTGTCAGTCGTGACAATGCGCTCTTCGGGAAGAGTCAAGTCCAGAAATGGTATTGCGGTTCCTTGCGCTCAGGCTTGGGAGGCTCCCGTACAAAGCACCCAGCCGTTTCGAGCTTCCCACATGTCCGATTCCGCCTCCGCAGCGGCGGCCTCAGTCGCCACACTTGCGGGGTCATGGGCCGAGCCGTTCGGAGGCCGAGGATGGTGCGTTTGGCCACCAGCTTCCAAACACAATCACTCCCCCCAGGAACTTGAATGTTTGATTCGAACGTCTGCTCGGAGCTCGGGACCTCCATGAAGGAACAGCAAACTGCATAAACATAGACTTTCGGAGCTCCGCGCGGATTTTTTGGATTGGCGCTGACAGCCCCTCCTTGGCGCGCTGAGCGCGCCAGGGGCGGGGCAGGAGACTGATTCAAGAAGTCCGCGCGGAAATCCGAACGTGTGTATGCTAATGTTTTTGTTGTTCCTCTACTCCAGGCCAGAGCAACTAATGTGCCCTCCCGCCATGGCGTTTTCCGCGCCTCGGGGCAGGGGCCACGGGCCCGCGCGTAGCCGCTTCGGCTCCCGGCGGGGCGCGCGATGGGCGGCGGGCGCGGCCGCGAGAAGGGCCGCGCAGGCGCGCCGGGGAGGTCTGCGATGGGCGGCAAGGCCCCTTCGAGTCATGAAGAGATCACGACGCGATGCTTGTCACTGCTTTCGGCCTCTGGGGGCCCTCGCCGGACCTCGGGGCCGTCACCAAAACGACTCGAGATGAAACACCAGCCCCGGATAGCTCTCCATTTGGGGTCGAAGCTATGTAAACATCATGACGTCGGAGGTCTGGGGTCGAAGCCTTCCGAGTAGGGTCGGAGTAGTTTCTTGGGGGGGGCTGCCTGTGTTCGCAGGCGCCCTGCCGGTGCTCGCAGGCACCCTGCCTGTGCTCGGAGGTTTTGCGCAGGTGCCCCAACCCGTCCCAGCGTTGCCGTTGCCTGGGTCCCCAACTTTCCCCCTATAACAAAAAAAACCATGCCAGTCGCGCCGCATCGCCTATGGATCGGCGATGTGGCTCGATGTGGAGCTTGATGTGCTCCACGCCGATGGCACCGATGCACCACCGACGTCGCCGATGTATCGCCGATACATCGGCGATGCATCACCGAGGCATCGGCGATTCGGCGTGATCCTCCGACCCCCATCTACTCGGACTCCATTTGGGAGGCCTCTCGGAGAAGGGCGAGACAGGTGTGGGGAGGGGTTGGTCGGGGCTGGGCACGGGCTCAGGTTATATCCGTCTCCGTTGGTGCCCCCGCGTGGCAGCCGCCAGCGTTGTTGCTTGGTTTGACAGCGATCGGCGCCATCCATCTTCCATGGCACTAGGATGCCACGGTCTGACTAATCCAGGTTGAGAGAAAGGCAGTTTTGGTAAGCAGCGCGAGTAATGCTGGATGGTTTTGACGAGCTGATACGAGATCGGGCAAAGGCCCGTGTTGGCTACGGGGCAGACTCCCTTGCAGAGGGATTGTGTTGGGGAGTCAGGGCCCGACATCTGCCTTTGGTGGCGCTGCCGGGGATTGGGCAAGCCAGTGTGTTTCCTCGATGTGTCTAGCGTATATGTTTAAGGTGCGCTTCGATTCAGGACGCTGCCATTCTTGGATTGATTGATTCAGGCCGGCCTGCGAAATCGGTCGCATACGTTCAGTTCCCCAGGAGTTCAATTCTTGTCTGTGTTCGTTCTGTAGGCGAGCGCAGAGGAGCCCATTGATCCCATGCTGGTCCCCTCTCGGACACATCAGACATGGTCTTGGGGGAGTCGAATGCGTCGTCTTCGCCATTGAGGTTCTTCGATCGCCCTCTCCAAGAACTTCCCTGGCAGCAGAGAACTATCCTGTGAATCGTTCCCCCGTGTGGCTCTCGACGAGGTCCAGCTGCCTGCGTGACCGCCCGCCCTCTCCAGGCAGGCCAAGATTCCGACATCCTTCGTGCCCCGAGCCTACCCGACGCACAACCTCTAAAGGGCTCCTCCCGCCAGGATCATTTTCCTCGTGGGCGACACTCGTATCCGTATCCGCGGCCTCGCGGGCCGGGCCCCTGGGGCCGCGACCCCGCGGATTCGGGGTGTGTTTCCTCGGATGCCCTGCGCAACATGTATTCGTGCGACCGCGCATCCGCGGGATCGCGCCCTGAAATCCGCGCGGACCGTCGAAAGTTTTGTATGCTCATGTCATGATCAGAATGAGGGGGCCGAACGGTCATTCATTGTCGTTGGGCGCGTGTCTGAAGTGCGGTCCGCGGTGCGGATTGTTTTTGCGATGTTGTTTTGCATTCGCATGTCTCACGAAGAACTATTGTTGATCCCCCGGCCTGGTGCGCATTGCGTTTGTCAATCAAGATATTTCTCTCGGGGCTTGCACATTCTTGAAAAGGGAAATCATTGCGCCTCAGATCGTACTGCTGGCCCCCAGTTTACCACAACAGCGGCTTCACCTTGGTAGCTTCTAACCACATCGCGCTCTCGCGCTGGACTTCCTTTCAATTTATTCAGGAATCGCGCTCTTGCGTGGTATTTCGGATTGAAACGCCGCGCCTTCGAATCACGCTCTCGCTGTGGAGTTCCTCACGATTTACTTGCACATCGCGCAAATGCTCGAAACTTCCTCGCGATTCATGTTGGATTGACACTTCAGCGACTTCCCGCTCGACCCAGCCGTTTGCGAACGCCCGCCCAACCCGCCCGTTTCGGCCCGCCCGCCCAACCCGCCAGTTTGGTTCTGGCGCTTGTACTCCGGCTCCTGAGCCCCCTCCTGCAAACCTCTCTCGTGCTCCCTCCTTTTCCCTCCCCCTTGTCTCTTCCCTCCTCCCGCCCTTTCCCTGTTTGAGGGGCTACGCCAAGTGTACGTGGCAGGCAAGCAGGAGATTTTCCCAAGAAAGGTATGATCGAAGACGAAAAGAGCGGGTACCGAGGGTTCGGGATATACATGGTGACTAACACGCGAGCGTATGAAAGCAATCAGTCTCGGAATGGTTATTGAGTTTTATGTCTACAGTAAGTATGAATCGTTTTCGCTCGCTCCGCAGGCCCATATTGTCTCGCCGCTGTCGTTTGTTGGGGACCAGGCAAGGAATCATGTATTTCTCCTGCTCCCAACCCCCTTCCTGAATCTCTCCCGTGAGGCCAGCAGGACCTAAAGTTTGTGACTGTTTTACGGTTCGGCCAAAAACGAAAACATGTTGTTACTTTCTCTCATGTTCTATCCCTCTCACCCCCCCGTTGCCCCTTCCCTCCTCCCTCCCTTCCCTTGTGTTAGGGGCTGCGCCAATTACACGTGGCAGGGAAGGAAGATATATTCCCAAGGGGAGTACGATCAAAGACGACGAGAGTGGGTATCGATGGTTTGGGGAATACATGTTGGGTGGCACGCGAGCATTGAGAGCGAACAGACAACTGGAAATGCTTGTTATTGTTGTCGTCGTCCTCGCCCGCGACCCACCCGCGACCCACCCAGCGACCCACCCCGCGACCCACTCCGCGACCCGCCCGCGACCCGCCCGCGATCCACCGGCGACCCACCCAGCGACCCACCCCGCGCCCGCCCCCGCACTCGTACTTGTTCTTCGCCTTTAGTCACCCCGGCATCCCGCAGGCAGCGGGAAGGGCGGCCGCAGCCAGCCCTCGCTCGCGTGGTCCGCTGCGTCAGACTCGGCGCCCCGGCCCGTGCCCCTGGAGCCGCGCCGGAGGCGCCGCGACGGCGACGAGGCGCGGCCGGCGCTTCAACGGTGCGTCTGTATCTTCCCGTACGTGGACCGCTTCTTCGCCTGCTCCTCGCCCCTCCAGTTTCTGCTCTTCTGCCTCGCCTTTCTCGTCTGCTTGGTGAGAAGGTGGATTTGGTCCGAATCCAGTCGAAATCGGGTCCCAGATGTGTTCCGCGCGTATCCCCATCAGCACATCCAGACACGGTCGGAGGTTATCTTGAGGCTTTTTGGAGGATATCTTGAGCCATGCTCGGTTAGAGGCTGTCGGAGGCAATCTTGTGCCAATGTCAGCTATCTTAGGCTGTCTTGAGGCTGTCTTGAGGCCTCTTGGAGGTCTGTCCGAGGCTATTTTGAGCCATGCTCGACCTCCTGGAGGAAGAGAAGGAAGAGGATGAGGTGAGAAGGAGGAGGAAAAGAGAGAAGGCGGAGGCGCAATGATTCGATGTCTCGCAGATTGGATAGCCGCGTACAGCTACAGAACATGGACGGACAATATGGAATTTTGGCTTTGTGAACGCTGTATGTTGCGCCTATCAGCGATCTGCGGGGGGAATCCACTGGCCTTCAGAGGGACCACATTATGGAGAACACGAGCCCCTCCGTAGACGTAGAGGTAATATTTCATTTCCATCCGAACATAGTTGTATGAGTTAGTAATTCACACACACATATATATATATATATGTACATAGGTATGCATATGCGATCGCCCCCACATATCATACATCTCACTTCATATGTTGTGTCTTATGTTCACTTCTTTCTGTTCCAATGTCTCTCTCTCTCTCTCTTTCTATATGTATCTCTTCTATTTTTATCCTCCTCATTCCCCTTGTCTTAGACTGATCCTGGAAAGGGCCCTGCAGCAAAATGATCGCGCGGACAGGTCACATCGGGTCCCGCCACCTCAGTCTTCCTCAGAAGATCAACGCCTTTAATGTGTTCGCCCACTCGGTCTTGGGTTACGTCTCCCAGGTGTACGTCGTCACTCCTGCAGTCAAGCGTGTGGAACACACTTGTCTTCGAATATTGACCGCTGGGCCGCGCCATGCTATCCTGAGCGATGTCTTGAGGCATATGTCTTGGATCGGGTTCAAGTATGAGCCTCGAGACTTGGAGTCGGCTGCCAGAGCGGCCCTATTTCGTGCCGTGTGGGGCTCCAGGGCGTTCAGCGAGGCGACGATTCGTTTCAAAAGGATCGAACAGATCGACTGGGATGTTTTGGTTGATCCATGGTATCGCGAGTTGCGGGAGCAGTCGATCACGTTGAAGACGATCCGAAACTATCGTCATACGACTGCGATCGCACCTGCTCTTGGCGATGAAGATTGCTCAAAGGTGCAGGCCAGGGAGTATAAAACTCTGCGTCAGCGGGCCCCCCATCCCAGTCTCACGCTGCTATTGCACCCCAGGGTTCTGCACTTTCTCCCAGATGCGCACATTAATGTCACCACTCGCCTTGTCATGTATATGCGTCTAGCTGCAGACGAGCTTTCCCCATGCCACTACACGGCGCGGTTGAAGGCGATATGTAACGCTTGGCCCGCGACCTGGCGCTTCTGGCAGCAGACTGGTCCGCGTCTCTTCGGGTGTCTTGGGCCCCCGCTTGACTCTGGCACCCACTACTTCTCTTGTCCCTCTGTCCTGCTTGTGTTCTTTGCTGTGCTCCCCGCTCTGCCTCCCTCCTTCGTTGATTGGCCTCCGGGCCCCCCGAATGGGGCCAGAGCAGATGCGCTCGGAGGATCGTGCCGCATCTCGCTGATACCCTGGTACCCTGTGGCTCCCCCATTCCCTCCCCGTGATCTCCCGAGCGCGGCGCGGCGCCCAGGGGCAGCCCTTCCCGCTGCCGTGCGGCGTGGAGGCCGCGCTGCAGGGCCGCTGGCACGCGGGGCCGCTGCTGGGGCCCCTGACCGTCGAGGGGCCCCACGTGAGGCCCACACCGCCCGGCCCCGGGGAGGAGGGGGGGTGGGAGAGGAGACCACGCAGGCCCAGAGGGAGAGAAGACCACCGGTCCGTGGAGGAGCAGAGGCGCATGTGGAGGAAGGAGGCGGGGGCCCAGGAGGAGGAAGGAGGCGGCGGGCGAGGAGACACGGAGGAGGAGGAGGAGGAGGAACACGAGGGGAAGGAGGAGTAGGAGAGGGCCGGAGTAGGATCAGAGTAGCATTGACCACCGCCACCGAGAACCGCTCGGTGGGGGGCCGACCCCTGGGCGGTGGCACGCGTGAGCGTCATCTTGCATGGGGGTGGCGCTCGGGCGTGCTACCGCCCAGAGGTCGGCCCCCCACTGATGGGTTCTCGGGGGTGGTGTTCCGTGCTTCTCCTCCCGAGAGGAACAAACAAGTTGCATAGAGATAGTTATTCTGCGCTGGGACCCCCCAGCGGCGCCTGCGGCGCCGCCCCTGGAGCGCTCCGCGCCAGGACGCGCGGACCTTTTCGAAGACGATGACGAGGACGCCGGGACGCTATGTTTATGCCGGTTTTTCTTCGATGGGACCAGGGCGAGGAGGACGAGGACTTGGAACCGCTGAAGCGTGAACAACTTCAGTCAAGTCGCATAGTAAGGATGAGCAACGTTCTAAGGTTGCCCTTGTATCCGTTCCCCTTTGGCCCAGCCATGGCGATTTTCGCCAGCTAACCCCGTTCGAAAATGCCAAATGCCAACATGGTCCTCCAAGGAGGTGCGACCACCAGATGGCGAGGTGAGCGTGACGCGATCGGGGGGTAGGTGGGTGGCAGAAGGCGATCATGGGCGGCATCGCCAGGATGAAACACAACAGTGGTTCCATCATGTACCTATTTCGCCCCGTCAGGGCCAAATTCTTGCTAGCAGCTCCTGCCTTCCCTGACCCCCCCCTCCTGGGCATTAAGACAATGTGTCATGAGGGGAACGGGTGCAAGACCAGCTATTCATCCTGAGCTGGTTTTTGTTGACGCTCCTGGAGCCAAGGGAGGGCCCCTGCAAAACGGAAAACGGCGGAACAAGCGCAGGTCCCGCTTGCCTCAGGCAGGACCCGCCTGTTTCATGGCTCCATCCCGATACTGTCGTGCGATGGCGTGGACATGGCGGCCGGTGTGTTCAGAACGTCCGGGACCGAAACTAATGTCGAATAGATGCTGCCGAATTTTTGGTGCTTGTCGCTTCCTGGCTTTCAACGGGTAATGTCAGCAGTAGCCACAGTAGCAACCCTGTTGGTCAACGCGCGCAATCAGGCGGCGCGCGGGCATCTGCATACCGTCAGAGGGGCATGGACTCATTACTTGTTTTTACGCGTGTTCCCCATGGGGAGCTGCGGGGGGGGACACAGGGGATGCAGGAGGCCGAGCTATGACATTCCGGGAGCGCCACGGGCATCTGTCTGGGCATCGGTTTTGGCGATGGGTTCGAGGTTATGTTTCATCGCTCCAGAAGTTCTTATCGATGTTCGTGAGCACTCGGCTATGCCTTACTCTGTACCTCCACATCACCTTCCTATTGCACTCGTGACGCTTCCCGTGTCTCTACCAGCGATGCAGAAACGCTTACGGTCACATTTCCATGCAGGACCAATTATCATGCAGCTCGCCTTGAGTAGGATCATACCGTGACACCAAGAGAGGCGGTAGTCGTTCAGCCAGAGCTCGGAATCAGCTTTATCAGCACCATGAGACACCAACACACATGCAAAATGATGACCTCTGCGAGCTTTCTACAGGCTTCTTGGGGATCTCTTGGGACATTGTTGGAGACCCGTGGGTAGATCTTTGGAAGGGTTTCATGGCCCTCCTGGGCCGATCCAAGAGATCAGCGATCAATTCAGGGGGGATCCCTACGTGTAGCCCCCTCGCCAGAGCCAGTCACCTGACGATGCCAATGGGTGTCTTGGTGGGCATGTTGGATCCACGGTAAGGCCAATGAAGCCCCTCACGCGCGAAAAGTTGAGGATGCCACCATCATAGTACGTTTCATATTTGGCAGCGATGTTGGCCTCTCGGGGCATCCTCTGGCGTCTCCGTGGCCACTCTGGGCCGTCCTGTCGCGGGACTGGGCCTTCTCGAGGGCATGCTGGTGGCCATCGTGCATGAGGACGATAATGTGTAGTGTTGGGCGCTATTTCGCGATATTTTGGGCCCTCTTGCAGCCATCTCGGGCCCACACGGTTCCCTTGACATTCCACATGGGGGGGGAGGGCGTGGGTGGCGCCCAGGGCGTCAAAGTTCCCAACGTGAGCGCTGCTTCAAAAATTCGTTCACCCCCGCCTGCCCTCCCACCACATAATCGAATCCCGACGCATTACATAAGCAGCAGTCGCTTTCGGATGGACAGCCATTAGGAGCCCGGGCAGACGCCAAAGTGCGCTTTGCTCGCGCGGCTCGCTGCTCGCGCGCCATGTGGGCTACTCGCACCAGGTGTGTCAAATGATCTACTTGGCCAAACGCAACACGCTAGCCAGGTGCCCCACATGCGCCAAGTGTGCCACGTGCTCAAGGAGCGCCAGGTGCGCGACACGCGGAGAGTGCGCCAAGCGCGCCAGTGCAAGTGAGAGCACACGTCCGGCACTTTCATTAGCCAATGCGAAATGACGACGGGGCAGCCAGTCCCGTTTTTGCGCGTGCACATCTTGCGTTTTCTGTTGCAGCAGAGGATCTGGTTCCCCCAACGTCCTTGCCAAAAGCCAATGCGATATGATGATGAGGTGCCCGCGCATGGCCTTTTGTTCGCCGTAAGGTTCATTTTGCATTGTCTTTTGCCAGTGGTAGTGGAGGCGGGCGGGGTGGCGGCATTTTCAATAAGGGGCAGGAGCAGTGATGACCCCCTCCCCGAGAGGGGAAGCAGGTGACATGGAAAAATGAGGCGCCCAACCATCTGTACCCGGAGGGCTGGTGGGATTATACCTTAGTTGTCGCAGCCGCTCTCTTGGTCGACGTGCCTTTGCTTTCGGTTCGGCTTTGAAACTTTAGCATCACCCAGCCATCTGAGCTCCCAGGGCCCCCATCTGCCAGGCCCGCAGATGGCCAACGACGTCTAAGGAGGTGATGTAAGGTTTCCCGACTGTTTTCTCGCCCGCCGCTGCCCGCATCCCACGAGGTACGACACCGCGCTGGGTGGCGAGCTGCTTCTCCTCACAGGCCTCACTGTGTGGGCAGGGCGCTCCGTGGGCAGTGGTCGGGGGTGGAGTGGAGTACAGTCGAAACTGATGGTAAAGACAGGTAGCCTTCCCCAGGGTAATTGCATTCGTGCCTCTTCGGCCCATCCTTCAACACTTTCGATGGACAGCCCCTCGACATAGGCGTCCAAGGGGCTTGTATCCGTATCGCAAATCTTTGCTATCAGTGTTGACTGTATTCGCATATGGGGAACCTCGAGGGGGGAAGAGAACGAGGGGAAGGCCGAGAGGGGTGAGGGCGCGCCTGGCTGTCGCCTGACCGCCTCCTTCCCCTCGTCTTTGGCTCCCTGCTCCCCTCTGCGGCCACCGGCCACCATCAGTGTGCTGCCCACCTCCCTCTTCGGGGGAAGACAGTCGAGCACCTCCCTACGGCATTACGCGCTCCCGTCGCCCGAGGAGACATGACCTATGCGTCCTAGATGGTGTTCAGATAGATGGTGGATCGCGCCGCATCGCGGATGCATCGCCGATGCGGATCGATGTGGAGCCCCATCTTCTCTACGCCAGCGCCGCGCATTGGTGATGCATCGGCGATGTTGCGCGGCCCTTCGAACCCGTCTATACTCGGACCCCATCTGGAAGGCCTCTGGGTGTGTCAGTCCCGCCGGCGCTCAGGCTCCAGCGACGGCAGAGTCTCCCTGGGCAAGTGGAAGGCTGCGGTGGAGGGTGCCGCGCCCAAGAGCCTGCGGTGGGCGGCGTCGATCGCCCCCTCGTCGCGCGGCAGCCTCCCGGCTCTCTGCCGGTCTTCCACGAGCGGTTCGTTCGGTAGCAAGTCGTGGGTCAGGAGGGCACAACCTAGCCCCACCCACAGCCAGGACCCCCACTCTCGAACTGGTGATCCATGGGGTCCTGGCTGGGGGTGGGAAGGGTTTTTGGGTGTGTTTGGGGACCAAACGGCCTCACCCCCAGCCAGGACCCCCTGGGTTATCAGGTCCGGAGTGGGCGTCCTGAGTATGGGTGGGGGTGGGTTGTGAAGTTCTCAGTGGGAGCCTTGTATACCTTTGTATTTTTTCCGAGTGCACTAGTGTCGATTAGCGTCTGGTAGTCGATGAGATAGCGCCGAACTAGCGTCGATCAGCCTCGTCAGTTTCGATTGGCGTGGATTCGCAAGAGCCAGCGAGATGGCATGGGAGGATCCCGTGAGCTGCCACAGAAGGTTCGGGACAGACGAGGCATTGCCGATTTTGCAGACCAGTCCTGAGCCCAAGATCGGGGGGCAGCCGCGCTGATCCCGGGGCCAGGATGGGCAGGACCTGGGTAGGTGAAGAGCCACCGACTTCCGAAGAGAGGGATATCCGTGGCGGGCCTGCTTGTCCGCGTGCTTGCGTGCGTCTCTGCTCTTCGCTCTTCGACCGCCCGCGGCCCCCTTCGTCACCGCGGCCGGACTTGGGTGAGGAAACGCTCCGACGGTGCCCGGGAGAGGTTTGAGGTCGGCCTTTTTGATCACTTCAAGTGGGAGCGGTGAAGACAATTGCCCACGTGGGCGTGGCTACATGATTTATTCGCCTGTGGAGAAGAGTGGCATTATTGGACTTATTTCGGAATTGTAGCCCTGTGTCTCCCCCCACGAGCGCGCATCGCGTGCACACCTGGACTCGCCTTTCCTCAGGTGCCGAATTTGAGAAGCCTAGATGCCAAATACCCGCTGGACATTCCTTGCCTTGGTTTTCATTCGGATTTCCCTACAAGTCCCACTGCGTTCTCATACGTCCAAGTTAAGGCTGTAGGGTTTTCGAATATTTCCTGTGTGGTACGTCTTTTCCGCAGCGGACTTTTCCTCGGTGGCCCTTTGAGGTGGGCCGACATCGGCGACGCCGAGGAGGTGAACGTGATCGTCTGGGAAAGGCCAAGGGAAAAATCATGAGGAAGGGAGGGTATCACCGCTGGTCGCAAGAGTGTTCATCTTCAACCTCCCCCTCCGTATTCCGCCTCAATTTATTTGTCGAGCTTGTTCTCCTCGTCGTCACATCGGGATTGGTGTCATATCGCTGGTAAGGATAATTGTGTCTTGGTGCGGGGAGCTTGGGGCCCCTACTATCGCGTGGCAAGAACACACACTGTACGCCTGCTCCGATGCATGCGTTGATTGGGGGGCAGAAGATGCGGGGAACGACACCAGACTAGGAAATGGAAGCCGACTGCGAAGACGTTGTGGGTGGGGGGGGCGAGGTGAAGCTTACATTGTTGCCCGATGCTGCGTCTGAGCCTGTCAGGTGAGACCAGACATCGCGTGGCGATATTGCGAAGGTCTTACGGCCGGTGCCGCCGATCCTGACGACGAAGCTGTCTGTGACGCCGTGAAGGCCGAAACGTCGTATATGCTAGAAATGTAAGTTTCCGATGGAAAAGTCATGAGTGTGGCCTCTTGGGCCCTTCTTGGGGGTGCTCTTGGAGGGGGCCTGGGACGTCTTGGAGGCTTCTTGGACGGTCTTGGGGCTATCTTGGGCGTCTTCGGCCGATCTTTGGGCGACTCGGGGCACTCTTGGGCCGTCTCGGGGGCCATCTTGGGCATTCGGACGTCATTTGGAGTGTTTTCGATGTTTCGAGGCCGCCCGAGGGGAAACGAATCTGCCCCCCCCCCACACCCCCCCACACCCCTCCCACCCCCCCCGGGACCCCCCCCCCCTGGGGAAGGGATCAAAGGGAAGGGGCTTCCCTTCGAATCGACAACGGCATGACGGCAGGAGGGTACGGCCCAGAAAGGGGCATGACGGCATGACGGCCCAAAAAGAAAAAAGGGGGAAGGAAGAAGGGGGGGCGGCGAGGAATGGACGAGGAAGCCCCTCGCACTCGCCGACAGGGTCGGCGGATTCTCTCAAGTAGTGGCCCGTCATGCTGGGATGTTGTGATGTTGCAGGGCTGGACACAATTGGACCCTCGTGCACCTATGGCGGGGCGGACGCAGTGAACACCCCTGGGAGGTCTCCCGCCGCAGGTAAGCCGTAATGTCGTACTTCCCGATTGCCAGCTGCATGGGTTTGCGCAACCCGTTTGTCCTTGTCCCGCGCTTGTCGGCGGGAGGTTGGGCGGATGGACGGAGTATGTCCTTCCATGGTGTTTATTATTTGCCTCTCTCATCCTCCATTCTCTTCTTTCGCACACCCCTTACACGATTCGTGGCCCTATTAAAGCAGATGTGGACCGACGGCTTCAGTGAGCTCGACCGTGTGGGAGGTCCCCGCTCAGTTCGGCACACCTCTCAAACGTTTCGTGGCCCCGCAGGGAATTCCACCTGCGGCCTCAGTTGGCCCGACCGCATGGGGGTATCCGATCATGAGGGCACATCCCTCACACATTTCGTGGCCATACACGGAGCTCGGCATACTGTATCACGGTGCCCGATCATACCGAAAGTCCCCGCTCATTTCGGCATACCCTTCATACGCTTCGTGGCCCCATGTGGGGAGCTTCACCTGCGGTCTCAGTGGGCCCGACCGCATGGGGGGGTCCCGCTCATTTCGGTACGCTAGCATGAGTTTCCAGCGGGCGTTGCCTGTCACCTCCCCGCCGATCCCCTTTGGGGGGGAACGCAACAGCCCAGCGAAGGACCCTCCCCTTTGCAGCTGCGGCTGGGCATTGGGTCAATCTCGGAGGGAAGGGCTCCCAGCTGGCTGGCGATGGTGCAATTTCTGTGCTCAACTGGCGCAGCTGTGGTCGTTACCCCCTTGAGCGGCCCATCGCCACCCAGGGAGGTACAGGGCACAACTCTCCCAGCTGTCGCTGGTTGGCGTCTTGAAGTGCCTCCTTGGGCGCCTCTCTGGGGGCCTCGGGGCCGTTTGGGAACGATCTTTGGGGGCATCTTGGGCCATCTCGGTTGCTCAAGGCCGAGATGCGGAAGTGTGAAACATTCATCTGAAGTGTAGTGTTTTGCCAGATTTGGGGCCGTGGCGGCCCAAGCGAACCACAAGACAGATCAAGCCCGGGCTTGGGACCATCTTGGGGCATGTAGGAAGGTGGGGTCCTCGACAGCGTTTCAAGAAGCCTCCCCTCCAGAGGGGGAGCCTCCCCTCCAGAGGGGCGCCGGGGAAGATCGGGAAATGTGTGATCATGGTTGATCCAATGCGCTGCTACTCGATCTATCTTCACGAGTGGACAGCACCATGAACGAACTACGCGGCAATTAGGGGGTTATCTTGAGTTTACCGTGAATCGAATGTTCATGTTAGAGTGGACGGCTCGAACGTGAGCCAGATGCTCAGATTTGAACGACGCGGGGGGCATGACGATCTAGGAGCACCGTGTCTTGGTGTCGTTGCGTCCAGTTGCGAGTCATGCTGACTGGCACGCGAATCCATGTGAATGGCTCAAACGAGAACAACATGCGCATCAAAGGCGGTTCAACTTGCGAACTGAACAATTGAATTCAAGTGAGAATTGCAGGTGCACCACGTGGGCGAAACATGTTCCAATAATTTTCGCGACTGCTTAGCTATGCCCAGGGCGTTGTTAAACAGTGTTTTACCCGGCGTGTTGGAAATCAGGCCTTTAACATGTTTTAGGATTTAGCCAAAAAGGGAAACACGCTAAACCAACGATTCATTGGTTCTGCATGTTCGGGTACATGTGTGGAACGTTTTTAGATCAGTTGGTTGCATGGTTAACATTGCCATGTACGACGTCCTCACCTTCCTTTCCTGGCGTGCCATCCTTCTCCTGGCGAGCAGTCTGTTCGGCCCGATTGCCGATTGCCCCTTCTAGGGCCATCGGAGGCCCGGTGTTAGACCGATGTCAGAGGGTTTTTGTTGTATTGTTTGTTTTCCATGTCTTAGTTCTGAAATGGAGAGCGGCGGCAGAATTGAGCGCGAGCGAAGACAGCAGGGAAGACAAGAACAGCCTTCGACCAGAAAGCAACACACGCTAACATATATGATTATCCACAGCGACGGGCCTCAAGAACGTTGAAGCATTGAGTTTTTTAATAAAACAGTGTTTTAACCCTTTTGTTTGTCAGAAACCCAAAGTGCAAAACGGTAGAGAAAAAGGCCCAGGGCGCTTTTGAGAAGAACCAAGCGCGACTGCATGATCTTCCCCATTTCACAACCTCCTGGTGCCGACCTTGAGGAACGTCTTCCAGGAAGTCGTCGGGCCTTTCCGACCGCTTTCCTTGGGGGTAGTTTTTGGTCCAAGGTCCGCTTTTGATGGTTTCGGGCGCGATTACGGGCCCCAGGATGATGAAATCGAGGGAAGTCGCGGAGATGGTAAGGCTTCGCGTTGCCCGCAGACAGCCCTTCCAGGTCGACTTGGCTGGCCTCAACAGGCCCCCCGAGTAGTCCCAGCTGGCCTCAACAGGCCACCCGAGAAGTCCGGGGCGGTCTCAACAGCCCAACGTTGGTGCGCGGAGCGCCCAGGGGGCGCCGCCAGAGGCGGCGCTCGGGTATTGAGACCGCCCCGGACTACTCGGGGGGCCGGCTGAGGCCGCCCAGGACTCCCTTGGGGGGGGCGTGTTCGCGCGCATCCCAAAGTCTTACCATCGCCGAGAGCAGACCATCCTGTAGCAGAGCAGTGGTAGGAGTCCGCTGGAGATCACATCCGCTGGGCGGGGCGGCCCAAGGGAAGTGGCCCGTGCCGCGGCGTCGGTCGTCCCCCGCAAGGCTTGCAGGGCGCGGCCCCCGCCCGCTGGCCGCTGGCGCGGCCGCCGCAGGCGAGGCTGGTACTCTCCTGGCATCTCTCGGCGATGCGTAGTCGGTTCTCCGAGGCTCGGGACGATCGACACGGGTACGGAAACGGTGAGCACAAAGTCCAACAGCATGCGTCGTCAGTCTGAACAGGGTTCGGCGTCGGCGTTGCCGCGGCTGTTGTCTATTAGAGACAGAAGATTGCCTGCCCAACAGCGGCTACTGTCGGATTAGGACAACACTTCCTGTTGGGCATCGCACGCATGGTTTCCATACCCGTCCTGGGCGCCCAAAGAGGCAGGGCGGGGTATTCATGACCACCGCTTGGAGACTGTTTTTTCATCCGTTGGCGCGTAGTGGTCGTTGGGCCAACACTTCCCGCCTCCGCCCTTCCCCCCCATGTAACGGTAACGATCGTACGTTGGGGGGGCGGGGTTTGGGGTGCTTCGTTCCCCCCCCCACGTACTAGTGCTTGCGCGCATACGGTGGCGATCACAGCGAACCCCGCCCCGATGCGCCCCTCCCCGTTCAAGCGTTACATTGCCTAGGTCCCCATCCCCGCCCCCCCTAGCAACGACCCCTACCCCGAAATTATCCTGGCGAATGTCCCTACCATGTGCAGTTGTGGGTACCGTAATTGTGAACATCTGCTTCGGTGAAGCTCCTTATGGGGCCACGAAGCGTTGCACTGGGCGGGGGGGAACGCTGTACTGTGTGGGTGGTGTGTCGAATTGGGTTTCCTGGATGCATGCGGACGGTCCCACTGAGGGCTTCGGTGGAGCTCCCTATGGGGCCACGAAGCGCTCTACTGAGTGAGTGAAAATGCCACATTGGGTTACCGGGACGCATGCGGACGGTCCCATTGGGGGCTTCGGTGGAGACCCCTATGGGGCCACGAAACGCTGCACTGCGCGGATGAAAATGCCAAATTACATTTCCCGGACGAATGCGGACGGTGGCACTGGGGCCTCGGGTGGAGCCCCCTATGGGCCACAGAACGCTGCACTGGGTGGGTGAAAATGCAAAATTTGGCTTCCGGGGCGCATGCGGACGGTAGCATTGGGACCTTCGGTGGGGCTCCCTATGGGGTCACGAAACGCTGGGTGGGTGAAACGCAGGGAGGAGGGGGAGGAGGGCCACGAAACGTTGTACTGGGTGTGCGGGACGCATGCGAACGGTAGCACTGGGACCTCGGGTGGAGCCCCCTATGGGGTCACGAAACGCTGTACTGGGTGTGCGGGACGCATGCGGACGGTAGCATTGGAACCTTCGGTGAGGCTCCCTATGGGGCCACGAACTCTGTACTGGGTGTGCGGGACGCATGCGGACGGTAGCACTGGGACCTTCGGTGGGGCTCTTTATGGGGCCACGGAACGTTGTACTAGGTGGGTGAAACGCAGGGAGGAGGGGGAGGAGGGCCACGAAACGCTGTACTGGGTGTGTGGGACGCATGCGGACGGTAGCACTGGGACCTTCGGTGGAGCCCCCTGTGGGGCCACGAAACGCTGTCTTGGGCGTGCGGGACGCATGCGGACGGTAGCACTGGGACCTTCGGTGGGGCTCCCTATGGGGCCACGAAGCGCTGTACTGGGTGTGCGGGACGCATGCGGACGGTGGGGAGGAGGGGGGGGAACGAGAGGAGGAGAACGCGGGGACCGTCTCTTCAAAACGAGGACCCAACACCACAGGACGGTTGGGAATGATTGCTTAAAACAGCGATACCGATGCGGTGGATATATCCAGACCACCGCCTGGGGGATCGATCTTCTGGGGCTTCGGCAGGCATGGCATGCGGCGGATATCGATGTGTTCGAGTTGTTTGGGCCGCCGGATAGGTCCATATGCACCGCCGGCCGAGGTCTCTGGAAGTCGATCCCCCAGGCGGTTGTTATGTCTGAATTCCCGAAGACCGACATCAGACCTGGTCCATCTTAAACAGGAGGCGCTGTTGGTGCCGCCGCCGACGGTGTCATTTGGACATCAGCGGCCGCTGCTGGTTTAAGATGACATTTGCCCTTGGGTACCGTATCAATTAATTATTTCCGTACCCATGTGGGGCGTGCAAACTCAAGGGTGGCCTTTCGCCGTAGTGAACTATGTGGGGCCCAATGTGTCCTCCCATAGCCGAGCTCGATGGGATAGCAGCGGCTTGCGCGCTTGGGTGTAGCCCCTCCGCGCTCCCCGAAAGCCGCGCAACAAAGATAGCGAGCTCGTAGCAATTCTTCGGTGTAGGACGCTTGGAACAGCAGGACTCCTCTGAAGACTCAAGGCGTGGCTCTAGTTGTCATGCGAGAAGGACCCCATGGCTTGTCTGTTCCATCCAGCGCTCGTATCCCATCGTTTCTACACTTTTCGCGAGCGACAGGCTCGTTCTCATTTTTCGCGAGCTGATCACGACGTTGCCTGCGGGTCCTCAGGCAGGAGGGCAGAGGCGGCCAGTGTCATCGGAACGGGGAGAGGGGCGGGGAATGCGGCTTGCGGTTCCAGACATCTGACGTCTCGATTTTTTGGAGACTCGGACCACCGACCTCTCGACCCCGTTTTCCATCACGAGTCCTTTTTGTTGACGATCCCGAGGCCCGGCAATGGCCCCGAGAGGTTGAAAACTACGAACACCCCGCGTCACGATGTTCGAGGATGTCTGGGGAGGTGTGGGGAAGTGAGCCTGGCGAGTGGGGAGCTGGGTACGCAGGCGCTGCGCGGGCTAGCTCGCCCGCCCGCCCGCCGGCGGCGCAGTCTGCACCGCGCGCCGCGCCGGCGCGCCTCGCGGCCCTTCGCAGCTGCATCGAGCTGCGGCGCCGCGCCGCCGCAGCCGCACCGCTGGCCACTCTGCCGGCCACGCCGCCGGACTCGCCGCCCGCCACGCCGCCGGCCGCGCCGTCGGCCGCGTCGCCGTCCGCGGCGTTGGTCGTCGGCACGATCGAAACTTACACATGCTCGCGTCGTAAAGAAATCAGGACCGAGGTTTTCGTAGTGTTCGGCCTCTGGGGGCCCTCGCCGGGCCCCACGGCAGTCAACAAAAGGCTCAGAATTGTGAAGAAACGGTCGGGACTTCGGGGGACCGCGTATTAGGAAAAGTATAGTGCAACGCGTTGGATCTAGCCAGGAACCCGGGTAAGGGTAGCCAGCAAGTGATTGGGCCCCGAAGCCCAAAAAATGAAATGGAATGCCTTCACCAGGTCTGCCGTAGCTGGTGTTTCTTCGGTTGGCGACAGGTTAGTGGAATGGGGTGGGGGGGCGTCCCCCGGCACACATGTCCCATAAAACCAGCCTCGCCAACGCCCGAATGGGGACGAAGATTGACACCAGATCTTGTCCATTTTGAACCGGGCTCGCTGTCTGTTTCGCCGCGGACGTGATCCGCTTGAGGCAGAAGGCCGCCAGTGAACAGTGACGGCTGTCGGCGTTGCCCAACATTCGTTGTCGGGCGTCGTGCCCAAGTTTTCCGCACGGTCGGTTCGCGTCGTGTCGATTGGCGGCGACCCCGCCGTTGGCGTTCAATGTTGGACCCCGCCAGCGACCCAGAATCGGTCGATGCGGAACGATCCCCGCGGTGTACCAACGCCAGAGTCGACACGACACGACCCGCGGATTTCGGGCGTCCAAGAGGTCGCGCCGCCGGCCGCGGCGGCGCTCCCTCGGGGCGAGGCGGGGGCGCGCCGCCGATCCCAGCGCATCGCCGGGGCCTCCTGGGCTCGGCCGCTGCCCCACGTGGAGGTCTCGCCGAGCTCCCCGGAGGCCTCCCCCGAGGCGCGCCGCGGCGCCGCGTGCGCCCGCGGGCCGGCGGGCGCGCCAGAGCCCAGGAGGCTCTGGACGGCGCGCGGCCGCGGCCGCGGCCGCGTGGGCCACGCCTCCGGGCGTCTGCGCGGCCGCGGCGGCCGTGGCCGCGGTGCCCGCGGCAGCGGCGGCCGCTCGGCGGAAGGCCCCGGCCGCGGCCGCAGTCGGCCCAGCCAGGCTGCTCTGGAAGCGCTGCGGCCGCGCCCGGCCTCGCCAGGCTGCCAGGGGGGGAGGGGGTGTCCAGGAGAGAGAGAGAGAGAGAGAGAGAGAGAGAGAGACGCATCGCCTCTGGAGGGTGGCGAGCTCAACGCGTGTTGAATGACAATGCCACGGTGGCGGCGCCCACAAGGGGGTGGCGCGAGGGGGTTACGTTTCCGAGAAGGCGGGGGGGCTGCTTGGAAGTCAGGGGCCTTCTTAATTAGAGATGCCCGGAGGTCTTTGTAGAAGCCAGGAGGTCTTAAAGAAGCCACTTGCCTTCTTACAAACACCCCGCTTTCTTAAAATATTGCCACCCTTGCGCCAGCTCCTTTTGGGCGCCGCCACTGTTCACACTCTTTTGTGCATACGTGCGGGGAGATTGTCTGCAACGGAGCACGCCACTCTTCGCTCCTGTGCTGCTCCCAATCCTCCCCTGTTGCGATTGACATCGTAGGGAAGCCATGAATTGCTACGCTACGCCATGCTGCAGCAGGACGTGCTATGCTTTGTTCTGCATGACAATATGGTGATGCAGCATATCTGGTGTGCATGTGTGGGAACGTAATTCGTACGATGCCGTTCGTGTCATTTGAGCAGAGCATATTACGGCCACGGGGTGGTACAGTGTCAGGTGGCATGTTGCTCGTGTTACGATGATGTCAGATGGCATGGCATGTGATGGTTCACTATTGTGTAGTTGCATCGAGTGAGCTCAATGATTTATCATTGCCAATGGGATGGAAGCGCTTGTCTCGTCCTGTGGCTGTGTTTCACAGCAGAGTCTTCCAGACCTCAGACGTACCCGTGGCGTTTCCACGCTGACTCGAGTGTTTAGTTGCTTGCCTTGAAGCGGGCTTGCGTGTGATCTAATGTAGTTGAGCCCATCTTCGGCGAGCAGGTGCTAATGATACTGATGCTGCTGGGGCTTAATGTCTAGAGAAAGAGAGAGAGAGAGAGAGAAAGAGAGAGAGAGAGAGAGAGAAAGGCGGGACCCTGTGGGCCGCGCCCCAGGGAGGAGCCACAGCGGGCCCCACCCTCCAGGCTGGGCCGAGGGGCGGCGGGAGAGGGGCACACGCCGTCGGGCCGATGCCC